AAGAATCATGCAACCCAATGGAAAGCAGAGATGGGTGTCACAGATAAACTGTTACATGCTTTCTTACCACATAACATAGTGCCCAATACAAAACCACTTTCTTTTGTCCTCTGTTATCTTCTCAGATAATACAGTAATGGTTCAAGCAGACAGGAATGATAATTGGAAGGACTAGAATCTTTACCTTATTAAAAAGGCTCCTAAATTGCTGTAAAAATTATGTAAGGCTGGTAAAGTAGCACAGCACTTGAAATCAGCTTGTGCACCATGTTTCTAAAGCCCTTCTAGAAGTCAAGTGTACTGCATTTGTCCTCAGACAAATTTATCTCCCATTTGAGGGGGAAAGTACACAAGTGATCTGTCACAGCTACACAAGGAATGCTAGTTCTTAAATCTTGACCACGATCTCACCTCTCCAAGGATCAGGTGCAGCATTTCTTGCATACTTGTACAGCATCTAAGAAAAACACTGTTACCATCTAATGGATTCTCCCTCCCTTTAAGCTAGTTTTGGAAGTCACTTATGCAGCTACCTTAAAGCTGGTTATTCCACTTTGGCATTACCACATGCCAGCATTACATAACAGCATCCAAATATTGATAGCTGTATTGCAAGGAACATGCAGATGCTCATCAGAAGCAATGCAGGCAAGTCTGAAACTGCAGTCTCACAGCGAGCTTCAAGATAAGAGTAAAATTTCAAGGGTTATTTCAAGTTTGAGACATGTTTTGTGAGGTATATTGACACCATCTCCAAGTGGAGCTGTACAGATCGAGTGCCAGACTTGTCTCCAGTTTCATTCTCTCTTCCTATATAGAGCATGAGCTGTATTTAAGCCTCTGATCATGCACACAGGATAATGCTTGGTTGGTTGAGCAGCTAATGGCTAGAGATAAATATGGATGATGGTTGCTATCATGGTAAGTAACTGCATGGTCTTCAAACAAGACTCACTCTCTTGCCAAGTAGTTTTTCCTTCAGTATCTTTCTTCTCAGCAGTTTTAACCTTTTGTCACCTCCTACAGCTGCATAGGCAAGTATGGAAAGTCCCGAACCATTCACATGAAATCAAAAATCATGCAAATATAGAGGAAGGAACAAAAAAGTCATCTTGGTTGCTCCAGGAAGCAGCAGTCTCCCCAAAAGCTTTTATCTTTTAAGCATATCATCAGATAAGAGTTTCATTTAGCCCTATTATTTATCTTTTGTTGCTAGGTGATTGTTTACAAGCACTGCCAAAGCACAGGGCAGAAAACATTTGTACGAAGACCGAGTTCAAGTTCACTTTAAAACTTTATATAGACAGTCATCACAACACAGTAAATACTTACAGTAACAACAAAAGCCTCCAAGTCAGCAGCAGTGCTTGACAAAGGTGACAGAATAAAGAACCATCTCCCAGGGTTCAGGGCCTGGACTTTCCTATGAGCAGTTTTCAAGCAGTTGATAGGAAACCCCGATTATTTGCAGCTACTGTGGAGATGACCAGATGAGCGTGAGACCAACACAGGCCTGTCAACAGGCCTGGAGGACGGTGTTTTTCCAAAACCCTGCCTACCTCATCCACAGAGGACTGGTGCAGAGCGGAGGAAGCAAACGTTTCAGACAGCTATAAAATACAAGCCTATTTAGATCCCCAAATTAAAATTGTAAACTGTCTAATTTCACACTCTAGAATAAGCAATGAATGTATTTTTCCTCATTTTAACTTACCTGTCAAATTAATTGACAAAAAAGTTACTTCTATATCCATTTATTATTTCAGTTTGTAAAAATATAAGACTAATATACAACTACAGCTAGCTTGATTTCATAAAATCAATCTTCATTCAGTGAGATATTGTACATCATACATTAAAGTTGTAAGAAAAATACTGATATTTGACATTTTAAACAGGTTCATTCATGTAAAAATCACATTGCAAGTAAAATTTAATTAGAAAATACATAATATTCACAAAAATACACATATGTTAAAGACAGCTTGTGAGAACGTTGTCCTAAATTTATTTCAACTGTGGAAAAAAACATATGATTCACAGTTAGGCTTGACTTATCCAGTAGTAGAACTTCAAAGTACCTGTATCTTAATTCCATTAAGAATTTGCTCTTTTTTTTTTCCTATTAAGGTGCACTTAAAAGGTTAATCTGCCTTCAGTCTCCCAGATGCAAGTAAGGAATGACTTGTTCCCTACTGTGCATGTACACATCTGTATAATACTATTCACAAGAATTTTAGTTTTCCATTCTATTTTGAAATAATTTGGATATTTATAAGTTAATTTATAAAATCTGGACTGAAAATACAATTTACACATATTAGGATACTTAATACATGAAGAGTACATTGATAGCAGCTTAATATTATCAATCATGCACAGTAACCTCACAATCACTTTTAGATTTTATAGCTAAAAATAAAGTCTATATAAAACAGTCAAGCCTTTAAGTATTTCCTTCCAAGGAGAAAATCGTAGAGATGTTAAAAATTTAGGAGGTAGTGAATGAAAGGCTAACAATATCAGCATAATATTTTTAAAATCTTATACTGAACCCCAGTACCACTTATGTATAAAGTTTAGCCATTCATAATCTATGGTTGTTATCATGAAATAATGATTTAAAAATATTTAGCAATTAACAGTGTATGCATTAGGAAGATATGGAAGAACTTCAGAAACTTATGGTAACTGCAGCATTAAGCAATTACATGCTGTGCAGTCTGTCACTGTAAGTGTAAATACACCCTTTATAAAGGCTGCTTAGATTTAGTCCATAATGTTTTTTCAATCAAGTCTCAAATGCTTAGTTTCACTATATTTGTCATCAAGTTTCTGCAAAGCAGAACATTGTATTTGTCAAAAACAATATTCTTACACATTGAAAATCATTGAGTTTGGAAGTCCTAAGAGATGGATTCTCATGCAGTTTTAAGCAGGACCCCAATTAATTTTTAATTGCTTAATACTGGTGTATATACATTTTTTTTTTCAAAATAGTCATGCATCTGTTAAAAGTACAAATCAGGTACCACAAAAGGGTTTGGCAGCACACTAACCTTGGGTGTTTGTACTTGAGCAATAAACTATCTTGTAGCATTTGCATTCTCAGACTCAACCTTCCTGTGCAAGTTAATAGCTCAACTTGCATCCAAGCAATGCACATACTAATGTAGCACGTCAGAGCCATTTAATATTTCCACCTAAAGAAAACATTACACCTTCGCTGAGTGCGCTGCAGTTTGTCTTCTGCATCTGTGGCCATCATTCTCTGCTTATCCAAGTGCCTTTATTACTTCGATTATTCACAATACATTCAGGTAAACTAAAGGCACAGAAGTGCAAACTAGCATAATAAATGAAAGCTGCCCTCTGCTGATGATTTCATACAGGAAGGAAAGTCCTTTGATAAAGGAAGAAATAGACCTTTTGAAGTAAACATTCTTCCTTAAATTAAGGAAGTGTTAGAGCAGCACTTATAGAAAATATATATTTTTATGCTGCAGAACATATGAAAAGAGGAAAATGGATATGGTTTATATCAAATCAATATACTTCAGGTTAAAGATTATTAGCAAAATAAGTCTAATAGTTTAAAATAATTGCTCACATTAAAAAAAAAAATCTAGGGTCTCTTGTGCATACTCCGATAAAACCACTATCAAAATAGGCAAAGTAGAACTCTAGTCTGCTTTCATTGTTTCCATTTCCATAATGGAAATGGTTCTATTATCCATTATGCCAGTTCTCCATAAATCAGAAAGGACATTAATCTGATAGAAGACAGCCTTTCTTGAAGTCTGCAGGACTCAAAAATCCAGTGTTACTGACAGCTTGGGGGAAAAAAAGGCTATTCATAAAGTATAATGAACTTAAAATCTGCATTTATCAAAATTAAACACTAATAACTGAAAATAACTTGGTCTACATGAGTTTTAACCTCCAATATACTATAGGGACTTTTATAGATGCTTAGCATTACACTTACAGTTAGTCTTATGTTAAAGTTACCAGAGGTAGATGCTTTCCCAAGACAGACTGGGGTGGGGGGGAGAACCAGGTCTCTTGCCCTGTTCCACCCTCCACCCCACAAGGCCAGGAACACAGGCTGCTGCCTCTAAGCACAGCACAGGCTGGCTGCATCCTCCCTGCCTTTGGGAGGCTGACTTAGGCTGCAGGATCTCTGCTCAGAAACTTCATCCACCTTCCTCCTCAGCCCCTTTAGTTCCCATCTTCTATTTCCCTGCCCCAGTTTGTGCCACAGCAGCGAGACAGGACGCAGAGGGAAGGATAATGTCAAAAGCCTTCCCTGCAGCTCTCCATGCAAGGCAGCAGCAGATTATACACACACCTGCGCATGCATTTCAGTAGCAGGGCTTTGTCAGCAGTGTTTTGTGTATAGTAACTCCGTAATATCACAATACCCAGCCAGCGGTGCACAGCAAGGTGAGCATGTACAATTAGCTCACTATAATGAATAATGTTAATGCCATACAGGTTCAAGCTGCTCTAGCCTGTTCTGGTCTTAAGTCACTTTTTCACATATTTTTGACTCTCTGCAACAAACTTTACAGCTTCTACGAGGACTGTGGCATGTTCACATGAAATATGCCATGTGTATTTTTTTTTTACCTTTGATTTCTTTAAAGTTTATCATTTAGTTACTAATGACAGTATCCTTAAATACTGCAAACTAAAATGAGAACAGGCCTTCAAGACACATTAGTGTTAAGACTTTCACATATGAATTTACAAATTAGTGTCATTAAAAGTGAGTTTACCTGGCCATGCAAGGCAGACTAGAAACAGTAAAGTTGCATGACTAAGGAGCCTGTCGTTGCACATTCACTTCCAAGCGGGCAGTCAGCTGGAGCAGCCCCCACTTCCAACCCGACTGTTGTCTAGCTGCAGACCACTACTCTATATATGTTTTGCTCAGTGAATCAGTCAGAATTGATCTGGTCTCTTCCTTCCTCCCCTCCTGCTTGTTCTTCTGTTTCCAGATACACAGAGCCACCCAGTGCAATCAGCACAACAAAGCAGCCCCAAACAGGAATGAGGTGGCTAAAGCAACACTTCAGTTGAATATGAAACCACAGTACATTAGAAAAATCAACCTCACACAACAAGGGAAATTTGCTTCTATAAAATCAGTAGCATTCCACGTAGACAAATCAAGTACCTACAAGAGAAAGCTCATAGCTATCTCTTAACTATCCTTCATTTTCAATATAAAATTTTCCTCATCCAGTTCCAGTCAGTTGCAATTATCTTTTATCTTCATGATGTATTTACATTGAAGTGCAGAAATAGCTGAAGTTAGTCAACTTATATAATTTCAAAGTTCTCATCTCCTTTTTTAAAATCTAATTGCAGTGCTCAGTAGGTGGAGAGGTATAAAATGTATTACATATTAAGCCAAATTAAAACACGTATGGCATTCTCAGTTAATACAAAGTACACCTATGTAATTTCATAGGGTTATTATAGTTCCATCTTCTAATGATTTATGATCTGGAGGGTGTTCTTCATAATCCATACTAATGCTGTCTGCTGAATGATTCAAGTTTGTCTCGCTGGATGGAAGGAAACCATTCTGTGTGGGCTCATGAAGAAGTTCCATTTGTGTCAACGACTCCAGGCTTTCACTGGTACAGACAGCCTTTGGAATCTGCTGGGGCTCACCACTGTCTTCAATAATTATGTCCTCTTCATCGCTCTCCTCTTCTCCTTGCAAGAAGTTAGTTACAATATTAGCTGTGCTACTCGGAAGGCTAGATTCAGTAGACTGACCAGAGCTGCCAGAAGTCCGACTGTTCCTGACCACATTGTTTCTCTGGTTTGCTGGCCTTACTGTAATGATCAGGTTACGGCTGTTGGCAATCATCATGTCTGTAACCTGATCAAGGCTCTTTCCTGAAACTTCTATTCCATTCACCTCCAGTACTTCATCATTAACAGCCAGCAAGCCTGTACTTTGAGCCAGACCTCCAGGGACAAGTCTGGATATGAAAATTCCTGGAACTTTCTCTAGTCCTTGTGGCGTTACTCTGACACTAGAGCCATCTCGTATGTAGAATCCCAGGGGTTTGTCGGTTCCGTATTTGTAAAGTCGCACCCTGCGATGGGTTTCTGGAAGAATATCTACGTCTATGATAGAAGATACGGGTCTGAAGTCTTGAGGCATGCTAATGACAATGTGGGGTTTCTTCCTGTGGTTGTCGGGACGCAACACATTGGCTAAGACGTTTTTCTTCCTTGTCATGGTATCTGTACCAAAGGCACTGTAGTCCGCATCTTCTGTAAGACAGTCATATTCATGATTAGACTGTGATAGCAATGCATATACACCATACATCAATCGTTTTAGGGCAACAGATTGAAATACCTAATCTAGAAGGTTCTCAACATGCTACAGTAGAAATTTTTCTCTCTAAATATAAAACTAGCTTTTACATTATGGGATTGAGAAGAGCTTGTAAGGACCACTTTCTATTACCAAAGGAAACAGTACATACTAAAAAAAAATAGCAACAACAGAAGGAAAGAAAAAAGTATTCTACCTGCCCAAAAGAATGCATTTTAGAAACTTTTTTTTTTTTTGGAATCATTCCACTTGTTAGCCTCCTCTCCTCCAGTTTCAGATCATTGGAATAGAGAAAAAAAAAAAAAGAGAGAGGGGGTGGATAAGCAGGCAGAGTGCCTATGACTGCCTCACTCCTGGACACTAGCCAAGTGACCTGGATTCAAACTCCAGAAAGCTTATTCCATTCCACGCTCTCACCCACCCCCATGCAGTGTAGGTAAAATGGCTGAGGAGCAGAAACAAAGAGCCCTTGCACAGAACTGCTCCAGGCTAAGTTATTTATACAACACTAACAGCTACAATTTGATTCAGAAGTGTGCAAATTGCTTGGTATTTTAAATGGAAAAAAGTATTATGCAGAATACTTCAGATCTGATTGCCAAAGCAATTCTGATATCTGAAATACCCCTTAAAAAAGGCTTCTGTTTTTACTTTTAATACCCTCCATGAAGCTGATTTTAAGTGAGAAACTGAAACCCATTCAGATCTGACTGAAGTCCCTCAGGTTTACACTAGTATTTCTGCAGTGCTATGTAAAAGTTTAGAATCAGAGCTGGTTTATACTAACTCCAGGAGGTTGGGATTTCTTTGTATTAGTGTACTTGGCTGCCATTGGCATGGTGAAGAAAATGTGAAAGTTTGGTAAGAGACTGATATGTAGAGATTAAGAAACCTACGGAAATGCTATCGCAGTGTGAAAGTTAAAGAACATTGATGAAAGTACTCCTACAGGAGAGGACATGGATGCCTCCAGATCCCTATGCCCACCTTGCAGAGCAATTTCTGCACCTGCTTTCTCTTAGATGCAGACATCTTTTCACTCAGAGTGAAATTCCTGCATGAACTGCTCTGTGAATAAAGGTTGCCTCCTACACACTGCTGCTTAGGACAAACATGCCACAGCACTGTCATTTCATGTCCCATGGGGTATGTTGGGCGCACCCTAGGGATTCCTCCTCTTCACCCAGACACCCGGTGAACTCTGCTTCCCTGATTTCCGAGGAAAGGATCAAATATAAGAAAACAGTTAAAGCAAGGAACACTATGAGGAAGAATATGAACGTGGAAGCAAACAGCAGAATCTACTAGAATCTCTACAGCTGAGCATGTTGAACTAGGAGTTTGAAAGTTTGTCCCATAAAAGCAAGGAATTACGGCTGTTCTTCACCGAAAGAAACTTCTAAGTAATAAAATAAAATCACTGGTTTTCTATGCTTACTTAGATTTTAAGATCAGAGAAACATAAGTAGAAGTTCTACCCTGATGTACTGAGGACCCATCAAACCAGTTTCGAGTTAAATATCTGGTCACTACTTTGAGAAGATTTCTACCACTTGAAGAGCTGCAATAGAGCTGCTGCTCTGACTTGGAAACACTCCTGTTTATAGGAGAACTTGGAAAGAACACTTAGGAAGCAAGAGTAGATAGAAGGGCCTTGCTCTAAGCATGTCTTTCCTGTCAAATACAAAGTAATGTACAGCACCAGCACACTGGCAGTTTAGGTAATGATTAAATAGACAATGGCGCCTTGAATATTAGAATTCATTAAGAGCATTAATGAGAGCAAAGGTGATTTCTTAAGCCACGGACTTCCCCTTTCCGCCACAAACACTTCACATGGAATTTGGTGATCTCAAGCTAAGTTAAAAACAAATTTTTGCAGCACATGCCTCTAAGTAGCAGTTTCTGATACTGCACAACTCTGCTGTTAAGTGTTGCACAACACCACAGCAGAACTAGTGAAAAATATTCCAAGGGACAGAGATTTTTGCATGGACAAGTCATTTTGATTCATTTCAAGCATGTAACTTTTTTGGTTTGTGGCAGTGGTAAAGATTTATACAAATTTAACACTTCATTGCTCTAGAAGAGCTGTTTGTTGAAAAATGCTCTAAAGAGTCAGTAAGTTGGATTTAGATGAACACTGTTTGTGCTCTTGATTCAAAGAGCTAGGTATTTTACACATTTTCAAATCATAGCAAATCTACAAATCTCAACACTGATCTGGTGCTTTTGCTTGTAAAAATCACTACTTAAGTTTAGTAACACATTGTTGCAGTAAGATGGTATCCCCAAACTGCAAATTATTTATGTCAAAATATTTAAGGCAAACTTTAAGTTATCAAAGGTGTTGTATTATAGTTAATCTTAGCTTAATAAATCAGCATTAGCAGAAAATAAGATTGAACTTATGTTACTTTAACTAAGGGAGAAAAAAAAACATCAAAAAGTTGAGGACAAAAATTCATCTCTCCATATCTCAGCCAAACAGTATGACTTTGTTTAACCTCTCCTCCACTACTAAACAAATTTTCTACAGCAATATTCTCGAGTACAAAGGCATCTTTGTCCTGGCATCTAGCTAATCAGTTTAAAGCTGCAGTGAAAAATATTTTGGCACGAAGCCAAAGGACTAGGTGTTAACTACAGATATGTTAAGGAGAATGCCCACATTCTCCTCCTCTTCTCTTTCAGCTGTTGCAGACTGAGGACAACAGCAATCTGCATGCATATTACAGTGAGTTTAAAACAAAAGTCCACAATACCCAAACCTGGTTTCAACTCAACATTGTTCAATACAAAATATTTAAAATTACGTTCTTCTGGTCTACCAACAAAGCAACGAAGTTACCCTTCATGAATTACACTTTCAAAACCCCAGAATCATGCAACTGCATTGGAATACTGATGTAAATTAGCATTTTTTTCCTAAATGTTCCAATAAATCAAGTCTCTATTTAGCCACAAGTTATAATGGAATATGGTTTTAGAAACTTTTTTTTTTTCCTCTTCCCTAAAAGGAGGAGTCAAACTCTTTGGATATTCCACAGAGTTTGTTGTTTAAAAAGTCAACTTATCTTATATTTTTTTTTACCAGAGAAGTTAATACTCTACAAGCCTTAATAGTAAAGTGAAGAAGTCTAACTTAAAAGGCAGGAAATTCCAAAGTACTTTTTCCACTTTTTAATATATATATGATGCATAAAATTTGCCATAGCTGTTATGTTGTAATTTAAATACCTGTAAAACTCTCATAATATTAAGTGAACTACACCTCCTGTTTATCTATTATCTGTCATTATTCTTGTATTTACAAGGCAAAAATCCCTCATCTGCCCTTTGGAGCCCATCAGTCCCATCTGAACCTTTTTTTCACCCCACACACATTTTATCCTTCAGTAAGATTTCTCACAGACAGAGTGACTCCAATACATCTGGACTTAATCAGGCAGATCAGTTTAACCTTTAAATTCCAGATGTCAATGGTACCTGTTAATTTGTTAAAATGCAGAATGAAATTCCAATAATCAACTATTTTTCTGCAAGCTGATAGCCATCCTTGTGCAATATCACTCCCTAGGGATTTTACATTCTGCAGTGGCATATTCAGAAATATTTTAAAGGAATTTAGTTAAAATGAATGATTTCACCACATTAGAGTAGCTCTTGGTTTCTCTCCAAGCTTGCCAATACGCATAAATGCTCAGGATAAGACAATTTTCTAGCTTTTGTAAATTATCAGTCAAAAGTCAACAGAAAAAGCATTTACTCTGGCATGCCAAAAATCTCTTAAAGATACAGACTATATTACCCTAACTTTTACAGTGTTACTAATATATGTTATTTCTATTACTCTCATTACAACTCTTTAAAGTATTCCTAGCATGCAAAATAGTATGAGGTTGGTATCATTTAAACAGGATTTTATTATAGCCTGTTCTTGGGCTGTTTTTTCATAAGCTGAATGCAGCTTACAGATAGGTCTACCTTCTTCAGTGCCTTTTTGTCAAAAAAAAAGTCTTAACACCCCCAAATATTCTTGCTGGAAATGCAAAAAGGCAATTTCCATTAGATAAAAAAAAAAATTGTCTGTCTGTCAGAAAAGTCGTATCTATACAGAAAGGCTGCTGAATAAGTTTTGACATCGCATACTCTTAATTCAGCCTTACTTATTATGGCCAAATTACCACCAGCAAATAATACATCCTTATCTTCTATAAAATCAACTCCGTTGTGTGGCAAGGATACCAATGGAACCAAAGCTTCAATTTAACTGGTAGAATTTCAGATTTATATTGAAGTTTAAAACAAACCTGAGAATTTGAGTGGTCGCAAGTATTTCAGTATAAAGTGTAGTACTCTACGATTTTAAAATACAAACCTGAGCTCTTTTTTCTCTATGCTATAGCTAGAAGAAATCGTACTGACAGAAAGAAAACAAGGAAAAAACTACCTTCTACAAGGCTTTTCTTGCTCACCAATTCTTGGCATGCTAAACAAAAGTGGTTTTAGTTTTGCACATTGTATTAATTCTATTCTCAATGTCTTGTGCCACTAGAGTCACAGGAAATAATCTATTTTACTCTTGAAAAATAGCAAATTGGTATAACAGATTATATATGCAAAGTCAGTAACAAAAGACATATGGTGTTAAAATGTAGCCTTAATAATCCCAGCCTGACAAGTGGCTTATCTGTTCTCATCATATGGCTACTGAAAGAGATTAAATGGCCTTTTCTACCTGTAGGTTCCATTAAAGCAAATAGCTCATCTCCTTGGCAATTCAGAACCAAAACCATCCAGGCCTTACCATTGTTATCCTCGACAAAAAACATGCACATTTTGCCTGCAATACAGCACCTGACCAGCTACCATACTAACTGTTTTTAAATATTGTCTTTGCGCAAGTCCATTGTGGAGCTTGTTTATTTTTTTGGAGTGTTTTTTGGAGAATTCAAAGCCTTTAAAAAGCAGTTATTTTATGAAGACTATTTTATGCACTAAGCAATAAGTAATCTGTTATGAGAAGATATTTGGCTGACTTATGGTAGGCATGCATGTGCACATATCCACACATGTATGTTTATGCCTGTACACAAGCAAGCTGAAAAAGAGAGAAAGAAATTAGATTTTCTTGGGTTCTCCGAAATGAAACAGTTTCAAATAATTCCACTACATTTCATCCCATTTTGATATACTGAACACTGTCTCCTGGTTCAAAACAAATCATTTTTCTCCATGAGTAAAACCAGACACTAGAAAGAAACAAACAGAACTTGTGCCTAGAAGATTCTATTTATAAAGACCAATTGACACACTGAACACTACTTACATTTGAGTTTGCTAATGGAAATAATCTTGCCTCTCTGAAAGCCACAGTGTTTTGTTAGAAAAAAAAAATGCACCGAGAGTAACATCTTACAAAGTTGGTCTTTAATTTATGCTGATATTTAATACTTTACATTATAAGATTGAAAAAAATGTGGAAAGTCTTATTATATCCTTTCCTTCTGTCCAAATAAGATTTAAATTTTGTGCGAAACTTATACCTAACTTACAGGAAAAGAAAACTAAAAATAAGTTTAACACTTACTAATATATTATTAATAAATAACTAATATTTTATTAACATTTACTAATATAAAACAAGAAAGAGGCATTACTAGACATTTTTTACTCCATTTTGTCCAACTGAACTAAAAATATGAGCAGAAAGCACATAGTATAGATAGGTTGCTTGAGGAAGCTGTTGCAGGAAAGCTGTGAATACATTATACCCATAATTACTGTGGAATTCAACATGGTGAAATAGGACTGAAGGTTTCTTTTCCTCCAAAAGTCATACTGTTTACTGCAGCAAGGCATAACTGTGTAAACAAATGGTTCACACAATGCAAGTGCACTTACCTTTTCTTTGAATGAAAATCCTGAGTAGAGGATTAGCTGTAGAAACTGCTTTATGATAGTTGTCATCATTATTGATAGGCAGCAGGTCTCCATGAATGTCCGTATATCCCACTAAGACATCAACATTTGGTATCTTGTGCACATGCTGCAATAATCCATAAAACTCCTCAAACTTCCCAGGTTTGGATCTTTCCAGAGAAAATCGTCGAAATTCTGCTCCAAACTACAACAACAAAAGATACATCTTACTTCATCGTGCTCAAACAATAGGATGATTTGATGCAACATCAGAAGTGTTATAGAATTGAAAGTACGCTAAAAAACAGAAACCACAATTTGGAAAAGGCTTTTATGCCTTTAAGATGTTTATTTTTTCAAAACTTTCACTCTACATTTGGTGTTTATTTTTCAAAACTTTCACTCTACATTTGGTCTTCATATGAGTCTGCTGTAAGAATGCGTGCAGATTTTGTTTTTACTGTTCTGTTTAAGTCAAAACATTTGCTCATATGGTTGTCTAACAAGCTCACACACACTAGTATAAGTTATTGTAGATTCTCATACTCTTACATTGCAACAGCCATGCTCTGGGTATAGGACAGAATTCACACCCACCACTAACACTGGTTGCTCAAAAGCAAGCGCATGCTTAGCTGAGGGTATGAGACTACTTGAAACTTTTCCAAAGAAATTCCAGAGCACTTCAGAAAGTCACGTAATAGATGCATTATTCTTTTAGCATTTTAAAATTCCTAGTTTTTCATGCCAGGAGCAAAAAGCCATTTTAATCTGAATAATACAAACAATCACTGCAGGCTTTAAGTAAAAGGTGCAGCAAAGCTTTAGTGAGCTACAGAGAAACATTTAAATTGAATCCTCCCAAGCCTTAAGTTACTTCTGCTCTTATTCAAAGAGAAAAATATACGAGGCAATCAGCAACAGGTCTTCAAAAGTATTCAAATATTTGTCTGTACCATTAACACTCAAACTTCCATTGAATAATCATTTACAAAGAGACTGTATCCAGGGTGTAAAACACACAAGGTTTGGAAAATATACCAGGGACATCACTGGCACTATACTTTTAGAGCACGCAACTAGTCAATTATTTAGCTTTCAACTTGACGTAAACAACAAACATTTCATGTAGATCAGACAAATTTTAATAGGTATAACTGACTCAATTACAGAGTTCTGTCCAATGCAGGTAGGACATGCAAACAGAGTATCAGATAAAAGTAGTTCCAGAATTCCAGGAACTGCACACCGGGCACACACAACACACCAGCAAGGACATTAAAAATAATGAAGAGATTGTGGCAACATCCAGGCTACAAAAAGCCAACTAGTTTATGGTTATTACCATTTTAGACAAAGACAAGACAAAATAGAAACACAACATCAGCTGGTGATATTTTTGTCAATTCTACTGCTGATCTACAGAGAACAAAGATTTAAAGTTATTTCTTCAGCGAGATTAATTTTAACCAGAACATGGTGGCACATGGAACAAAATACTTGGCATGAAAGTTTGAGCTTCGGTATATGTTACACTGCAGATGTGAATGAGCACATTACCAGGCTTCCAAACTGAGATCCTCCCATTTGATTACAATCTTTTAGGAGACAAAAGGTTTAAAAATCCTCACAAATCCTGAAATACGAATGAATGAAAATAAGGAGATGCTGTTGCGAGCACATTAGCACCACACTAACTCTAATATAGCTCAACAAAACAACCTAAAAATCTTCTGCACAACACTCCACCTTCCACCAAAACTTGTAAATAAAAGGATTCTAAATGAATATTCTTCTATAGATACTCTAATTGCAGTAACATTAACTAACAATAAGGCAGCAGGGAGGATTCATTCTTGCTTATAACAAAGTAAACAAAAATCTGCAGGAGGAACTCCCCTATCAAAAACCTGTCTTCTTCATAATGACGTCAGCTTTAAGAATGTGTCTTGTGTCTCTTAATTCTTCAGTCACTTGAGGCAGCAATATCACAGAAGTTTCCCATTAACTGCCTCGAATTCACTTTGTTTAGTTTTGAAAGACTACACATCTAAAGCACAATTATGTAAAGGCTGCTTTAAAAATATATGTATTTCTCAATTTGGAGCAACTGCAGGACAAAATGCAGACAAAGAATCAGATTTTCATAAACATGCATTAAAAACATGAAAAATAAGAGTTCTATAACATTTAAATGTTTGGTGCACATACTAAGAGACTTTTAATCTGGCTCTAATTCCTATCTTTTTTTTTAAAAAAAAAAAATGCTCATATGACAAAATAGATAAAGCCAAAGTAAAACTATGCAATTTCATGGTCAGTTTATTTTAACTCCCTGAAATGTTTTCATTTAATATAAATTGTTACACTCCATTCCAATAAAAGGGCTGCACTAGCAGAAAATTAACAAATCGGAGAAGCTCATATGAGAGGAGAGGTTGGGACAGACCAAACAGAGAAGGCTACTTGTTACCAGAGTTCTTTATAAATACAGGATATGTCAGGATGTTTCATTGGTAACTCATCTGAGAAAATGCAGTACAAGCTATGTCAACATACTAAGAAGTTATTAAAGATGCTTACAAAAGACTTACAGTTATATACTAAGTAAAATAAATTTTCTTACAGAAGACAAAGATGTCTCATCTCATAACATATGATACTGGCACTATATTTTCATACTATTATCAAAACCTCTAGGTTGAGGATAAAATTTACTCGATTAACATTAGAGAAACTGGGATAAAAGTATTATGGGGATCCCCTAAGGCAAGTTCAGACCAGTTACCTAAATCCAATAAGCTGACTACCAAAAAGATGTTGCTCGTGTGCCTGCAAACACAGCCGGGCTGTGCTGGCTCACAGCTGGGGCAAGATACATCCCCATGAAGAGCTGTGTATTGCTGATAAGGCTTCAAAGCCCAGACCCCTCTACAGCCATGTTTCCCTCCGCCTCCCACACACTCCTTTCTTCCTCCTCCTCTTTCAGGATTGTTCTTGCTTCCATAAAAGGGAGATGTTATATTAAATCAATGCACTTTTAGGCAATCCATTAGCGACAAGTAATTCTAGGAATGTCTTGAAGCTGGTTTTGTAATATGGGCATAAGCGACAGTCCCTATTTGTGGGATTTTTTGCATTTGCCTATACAAACAGCAAAGAATGCATCTCACAGCTGATTCCTAGATATATTCACCCCATTTTTAAGCAAAAACGCACGATGGGAGAAGCAAGCAGGCATAAAGTTTGGGGCTTCAGGCAGTAATTATTTCACTCCTAAGCACATTCTTTTGGCTGTTCTCAGTCTTGAAAGCACATAAATGAAAGATTTCACCAGCCATAGGAAGAGCTGTGCTTTGCTAGCACTTCGAATAGTAGCTACCAGGTATTCCTGTGCTTTTTGATTTTGTCCACTTGAAGACTATATCAACAGTTTTTCTTCTAAAAGTCACTATCACCTATGCAACTTTTCCGTGGGGGAAAACGAAAAAAAAAGAAAAAAATCTCTAGTGTGTCAGGGTATCCTTAACAACGACAACAACAGCAAAAAACACACAACAACTACTTAAGCCCTGGCTGATGCACAGCTCTAACACATGATCAGCCAAAAAAGACTGCACAGAAGGCACAAGCGATAAGAAGTAGTTAAAAACTGAACGGAAGATATTTTATACCAATGGAAAAAGTCACATTTCTGTATAGATACACTTACAATTTGCCTAGACAAAGAGAAAGGGTTTCTAACCTAAATTGCATATGTTCATTTAACTAATGACTTGACACATCAACGACTACCACAGACACCTTTACAATTCTTAACAGCTGAACGACAGTCAATGAAACATCAGAAAAAAAAAACAAACCCACAAGCATCAAAAATAAACCCAGAAAAAAACATAACTAATTCATTTAAAAACTTCAAGGCTTTTGCAACAAAGCTATGCTTGATCTGCATTAAGAATTGTGTGCAGATACTTTAATTGAAAGACATTTCATGGAACTGTGCACAGCTTTAACAGCAACCACAACAAAAAAGCTCTCAGTAGGAACTATAATATAAATATATGTGCTCATTAAAAAAAAATGCCATTATGAAATTCTTTAAGAGTCCCCAAAGGGCAGCAAGTTTTGTTTAAGGCAAGCTGACCGTGCCTTATCTTCACGGGGTAACACAAGCCGAGTAACAACAATCTCTGGCCCACTTGAAGACAGGAACGTAAACACATGGTTACCAAGTTAACCCGAAATCCCCCTTTTCCTCATCTAGCACAAGAGCAGGTTGGGGAGTTCAAGGATCACGAGGCTAAAACGCTTCCAGGTTTCCTCAAACTCTCCCAAAGCCTCTGTCGCCCTGGGAGTCATTTTAGCCAACGCCGAAACTGAGGGGATAAAGCGGCGAAACTGCTTTAAAAAAGAAATTATAAAGAAATAAATGAGAATATGTAAGAACACTGACTTCCCCTCCTTGTCCCCCGCAGCGCGGAGCGGGCGCGCAGGGAGCGACACGAGGCGGCCGCCCCCGCAGTGCCCCGCGCCGCG